AAACAACATATTGTCATGAAAACAACATGCAACAGTTATTAAAAATTAATAAAAAAAGTGAAACTTACATAGTTAAACATAGAAAACTTAGAGACATTTCAAACATAGTTCAAAATACAAAAAAGGAAACAAAGTTGATCTTCAGAAAAAGACACATAGAAGAGGTGGTCGGCAAAAAGGAAAAGAAAGTACTTGTTAAAGCAAAGAAATGAAAAGAATAAAAGAGAAAAGTAAAATAGATATAGAGTGCAAATGTTGAAAAATGGTTTTAGTTAATAGAATAGTCCGGAATAATGTAATTAGATCTAGAATAGTGGAAAGTTTAGAACAAAATAGAAAATTAGATAGTTTATTCTTTCATACAGATAGCTCACTTGGTACTGCTGAGGGGGAAGAAAAATTAGTGATGAGATGTAGAGTAGTTCAAACCACAGAAACAGGTCAGTTTTTGCAACAAATGTCTTGTACGACAAAGAGGTGGTTCTTATCTACAAAAGCAGAAATGGTAGCAATATTATTTGCATTACTAATTGTACCCCGGGGAAGAAGAGTAGAGATAAGGACAGATAGTAAAGCAGCAATATTGGTGATCAAAAGAGGCCTGGAAACAGACAAGATAAGACCTTGGTTGAAGACTAAGAATTGTGGTTTGGTAACAACAATTGTAGAGGTAATCAAAACAAAGAAGCTCAATACACACTTTATAAAGATCAAGGGTTACTCAGGCGATGTATTTAACGATCTTGCAGATTTGAAAGCAAAAGAAGGTTTCAAGTCAACAGAGTACCTAAATCCAGAAACATTATATACAAAAGGTCACAAAATAAAATACATGTAGGAAGGTAAATTAGTTGAAAAGCCTATCTGTTCCTTTGTCAAAATGTTGGAGAGAGTGCTATTGAAAGCAGAGTGGGCTTTTTTACATAATACGCATAATGAAATTCATCAAGAAAGAAAAAGCACTCAATCTTGGTCTATGCTGCGCAACATAATGAGAAGTGAAATCAGACAATGAAACTATACTTTCAAATCAAATATGTTACAGCTTTTTGAAATAAAGTGTATAAACAATATGCTTCCAGTATTCAAGAAACTTAATCAGAGGAGGCTGGAAACATATAAATCAGACAAATGTGTAATATGTAAAAAAAAGAAAAAGAATGTAGAACACTTGGTGAGCTGCGAAATCTCTCTGAACCTTCTCTGCGAATTAGAGGAGCAAGTTGTAGAAGCAACCCTACGGGAATTAAAAAAGATAGAAAGTATAGAGACAACCAAAGAAGAAGTCTTAATAATGCTAGAAAAGGGATCCCAAACTGAAGAATTATGTAGAAGAGAAAGATAGATTAGAGGCTTAATACAAAAGAAGACTTCGACGAGTTGAGACCTCTTTTTAACTCAAACAATCAAACAAAAAGCTTTCTAGGTAGAACTGGATAAAGGAAGTTTATGAGAGAATATGGGTTGCAAGATACAAATTAGTACAAGAATGGGAGAAAGAAAATGGAATCGTACCAAAAAATAAAAGAAGATCGCACTGAAAGGAAAAAAAAAAGAAGAAACCACCAGATAAACATACTAGGAAAAAAGAAAAAACAAGAATAAAGAAGAAGATAAAAGATGGAGTTCAATTTTAGAGATAACGAAAAAAGAGGTTTTAAGGTGGATAGAAGAAGAACAATAGGCAGATTGGTGGAAAATTAATATGTAGTCTTGATGGGCGGTAAGATCTAGCTAGTGATATATTATTGAAGCCAATTGCAGGATAAGATAATACAGAGGCGAATCTTACTATAGCAGGTCGCACATAGGTACTCAATGAGCAACCGGGTGAGTCTCTACTTGTAATTTAGATACTATAGAGTATAAAAAATTTTAATAGTTTAGATAATTATTACAAAGCCTAATAAAGTGAAGACAAGACTGCTGAACTTTTTAAAAAAAATTAGTTAAAAATTATTACTATTTTTAGCATTTCATATAAGGTCTTTAGTTTTTAACTATAGTTTAAAAAAAATTTTACTAATAAATTTTAAGAAAAATCTATTTTCACCTGGGTTATTTTAATCCGGAATAAAAAAAATAGGCCTGTAGAAAATTCTGGAATATTCTATCACGTGACCTACATTTTTGTTAGTCACGTAACTTGCACTTCGCAATGCACCAACCAAATTGCAGGACTATATGCAGGCATTATCATGTGACCCGCACTTCATAATGTACCAATCAAATATGTGCGGGCATTATCACGTGACCCACACTTCGTAATATACAAATTAAATTATAAGAATATATGCAAATTATACCAACATAGCAGCTACATAGCTTACCTTTGTAACCATCGCAATTAATATTAAAAGTTTATATAAATTTGACAGACATTTATTATAGAATTTATATTATCTTTATAAGGGGAATTTGAAGTGTGTATTCTTGCTCAATCAATAATAAGAGTATACATGACAATTCTTAAAGCTTAATCGTAACAACTACAATATACTCGCAGTAGTTTTTGTGTATTTCTGTAATACATTATAATACCTAATACTACTAAGATATGGCTATGATAGTACAATTATGAAAGTGATAACTTAAAGAATTAGACAAATACAGAAATTGGAAAACCAAATCATTATATCTTATTGGTATAGCAATTAACATGGCAAACAAATTTGAACAAAGATGCTATAATAACATTGAGCCAATTAAATAAACTTTTTTTATCTGAATTCTATAGATTTGTAGAATTCAAAAAAAAAAAATTCTATCAAATTTGGCTTGGTGGTTGTCAGGATACCTTGTCTCAAGTTAAAAAAATCTATTTTCACCTGGGTTATTTTAACCCGGAATACAAAAATAGGCCTGTAGAAAATTCTGGAATATTTTATCATATGACCCACATTTTTGTTAGTCACATAACTCGCACTTCACAATGCACCAACCAAATTGCAGGACTATATGCAGGCATTATCATGTGACCCGCACTTTGTAATGTACCAATCAAATATGTGCGGGCATTATTACATGATCCACACTTCGTAATACACAAATTAAATTATAAGAATATATGCAAATTATACCAACATAGCAGCTACATAGCTTACCTTTGTGACCATCGCAATTAATGTTAAAAGTTTATATAAATTTGACAGACATTTATTATAGAATTTATATTATCTTTATAAGGGGAATTTGAAGTGTGTGTTCTTGCTCAATCAATAATAAGAGTATATATAACAATTCTTAAAGCTTAATCGTAACAACTACAATATACTCGCAGTAGTTTCTGTGTATTTCTGTAATACATTATAATACCTAATACTACTAAGATATAGCTATGATAGTACAATTATGAAAGTGATAACTTAAAGAATTAGACAAATACAGAAATTGGAAAACCAAATCATTATATCTTATTGGTATAGCAATTAACATGGCAAACAAATTTGAACAAAGATGCTATAATAACATTGAGCCAATTAAATAAACTTTTTTTATCTGAATTCTATAGATTTGTAGAATTCAAAAAAAAAAAATTTTATCAAATTTGGCTTGGTGGTTGTCGGGATACCTTGTCTCAAGTTAAAAAAAACTTTAGCACAGCTTCTATTTTATGTTTTAAAAATTTTCTAATTTGAACAAAAATAGAACATACTCCATACCCTTTTGCTTTTGAAAATATAGTATGAATTCGCTAATTTTGTTATATTCTTTTTCATTAGTAGAGAATCTATTCATCTATAGTTGTGGTAGTGCTAGAGTTTATTTTATTAAATCTGATTGCATAATCTCCAAATTAATGACAATCAATTCACATAATAAAAACTTTCAATTTTTTTGTAAACCTTTGTATTACAATAACTACCAAGCCAAATTTGATGAACTTTTTTTTATTTGAATTCTACAGCTTCATAGAATTCAAATAAAAAAAGTTCACGAAATTTGGCTTAGTGGGTGTTGTGATATCTTCATCATCTTGCCATGTCGATCGTTGCTATGCTGATAATCACGTAGTGTTGGTATAATTCTCCCCAAAACCCAAGAATTGATTATTATATCAATAAATAGAGAAATAGCATTAAACATGTAGGGAAGAAAAGAAAAGAAAGTGTTAGAGATTGATTTCAGTCAAAAAAAACAACAGTAAGAAAGAAGACTTATACTTGCCCACATTTAAGTTGCACTTCTGGTAATAACCTATTGTTGGGCCTATTATCAAATCTTAATAATTCATAAGTTTCAGAGCCATTTTGATGTCATAGCCCTGAAAGACATCTAATCCTCACAATTCCGATCGACTATGGGTTCGCATTCAGAGCTGCTAACCTAAAAAGTCAAGTAATAAAATTCATAGTCGCGCATTAGTAATAAGCAAAAAGAATGTAATACTACCAAAAGTGGTAAGCTTACATGGAAGGCTGTGTTAAGAAGTGTGAAAATCTAAGATACTTCGAATTCACAAGAAAAAAATGAATAAAAAAGTTCAAAAATTCATAGTTGCATGTTAGTATCAAGCAAAGTAATTCTACTAAAAATGGTAAGGCTTATATAGAAGGCTGTGTTAAGAAGCACGAAAATCTAAAAGATGCTTCGAATTCACAAATAAAGAATGAGATAAAAAATTAGTAATTAAGAAAATTAAATGAACAAGGAAGAAAAGGAAATTGAATATAGTATTTCCCGGTACTAAGCCAAAAACCCCAAATACAATAAATTCTTATTGTATTTCAAAAAGTAAAATAAATGAGATATAAATAACATAAATAAAAATTTTTAAAACAATAAATACTATAAAGATATCTTGAATTCAAGTTAGAAATAACTCGATAAGCTTTTTTTTTTCTTTTAGAGTTCCCATAATAGTTTGCGTTTAATTGAAGTTGTTTTTATGCTTACTTTTTGTTTGTTTTTTTGCCATCAACACTTTTTTTAAAATGAGCATCGAATGATTATTTGCATTGGATGATAGTGGTTTAAGCACTAAAATTATTAGTCTCAATATGAATTTTGATGATGATATTGATACCAGGAACGATGATAATTCACTTGACCTTCTTGATAATAATTTTATCTATAATGACAATGAAGCACTTGATGAAGATCTTAGTGATAACAATATAATCCTACCTGCAACTCCAATTAATAATAATTCAACTACAATATTTGTTGGCCAAACTTTTGATGACTGGCAAAAGGTTGAGAAATATATTAATGCCTATGCGATAAGTAAAGGGTTTGCAACCAGATTACAACGTACTAACAAAATCATAGACTTTACCACCAGAGCAAAAATCATTTGTCGTCGTGCTAATGCTCCGGGTAACAAAAGTACTGGATTATGAAAAACTAAAAGTATTGCTATTGGATGCCAATAGAAGATAGTAGTTCGCTGGGCAAAAACCAAATATTATGTAAGAAGTGTTAATCTTGAGCACAACCATCTTTTGGACACTGCTGCAGTTATGTTTGACCCCAGACATCGCAAATTAAGCAATAGTGAAAAATCACATATACAAATGCTTTATAATGGAGGCATGCCAGTACCAACAATTGTTAACATGCTAACCGAACAATATAATAGGTATATTCATAATAAGGATGTCTATAATATATTAAATAACCGATCTAGGGACTACGTAAACGGCTTGTCAGAAACTGCAAATCTATTAAATAGTTTAAGCAACAATGATAAATATGAAATTACCTACTCAGTTAATAATAGCAAGCTTCATTGCCTATTTTTCACTACTAATTCTGCACTTGCAATGTTTAAATGTTATCCAGAAATTTTACTAATAGATTCTATGTATAAGACAAACCGTTTTGAGATGCCACTTCTGCTTATCTATGGTGTTGACACTATGGGTATCACATTTCTAATCGCAAGTAGGCTTCTTGCCAATGAAACTACTTCAAGCTTTTGCTGGATACTCCAACAATTAAAGCAATTAATTGGTGATATACTTGTTTACAATATACGAATGCTTTTAACTAATTGAGATCTTGCACTTGTTTCAGCAGTTTGAACCGAGTTGTCACATGTAAAGCACCAGCTTTGCATTTGGCATATTGAACAAAATCTTATTAAGAACCTAAGTAGTAAGCTTAAAGATAAATTCGTAGTATTCTTTAAAGATTTCAAAACTACAATAGTTGAAAGTGATGAAAATCAATTTAATATTCTATGAGATCATCTATTAACTGAATATCCTAAGGCTAAAACATATATAGTAGAGCAATGGAAACACTTTACTCATATTGTTATACAAACAAGAACATTAATTATAGAATACAGACAACACAATGGTCAGAAGCCAGTAATGCACATTTAAAGCGTCTGCTAAGTCATACAGTGCCATTACCTAAATTAATAAGTGCATTGAAAAAGTTAAGTCGTCACCAACTTCAGCACTCCCAATATCAACAGTATCATCTACATGGAAGTATTTGTCAACAATGCCCTGAATTGTTAAAAGATATTTCAATGGTCATTTTGGATTTTGTGTATTCTATATTGTTGAAGCAATACAATATAGCCACTGTGTATGAAATTGAAATGCAAGAAAGTGGTATACTCCAAGTCTATCGTAACGAGAGTTATAAGCATATAGTATATCAAGTTGAAACCGAATATACTTGTAGTTGTGATTATAGCACACAATATTCTTTGTCATGCCATCACGTTCTTGCTGTTCATATCACCGATAAGAGGGCTGTAAGTATTAATTATATTGGTGCTCGTTGGATTATCTCATCGACAAGATTTAATATAACACAACCTGGACATAATTTAACCAATACTGATGAGTCTGCAACTAAGTTCATATCTTTTACCAATCGAAGTATTTACGATATTTATACTGATCAAGAGAAGGTACCTGCTAAGAGTACAGCAAATTTACTTGAAGATATTGGAACAATTTCTAATAGAGTAGGACATGTTAAAGTTAATAATTCACTTGCTCATTTTGTGAAAGAATTGAATGATGAATATCCCTTATTACAAGAAGATATTGAAGATCCTCTTACTGCAAAAACGAAAGGAAGGCCAAATAATACTAGTCACAGTAAATCAGGTATTGAGCTTGCTACTAAAAGAACATATATATGTAGTATTTGTGGTAGCAATAGACATAATTCTAGAAGTTGCCCAAGTAAATAGTCACAAACCATTGTTATATTAGCATATTTTTTACTTTTTATTATTTTTTTTATTTTATTATATTTTATTTTATGTGATATTAGGGTTATTAGGACGTGTTGGTATTATAAAATAGGTTAAGGATTTTACTTCTAGCAGATCCAGAAGACCCTGACAATCAAAACAAGCTACAGTATATCATGATCAGCTAGATAGATAGCCAGATAATTGATAAACAGGGTACTGGAAAATCTAATACTATTTTTATTTTGTCATAAAGTTTTTATTCTGTTATTATTTTTGTCTGTTATTTTGTCATACAGTTTTTATTCTGTTATTATTTTTGTATTTTATTTTGTCATACTGGAAGATCTGATTAACAAGATAGCCAACAGATCTAATACTATTTTCATTTTGTCATATAGTTTTTATTCTGTTATTATTTTTGTCTGTTATTTTGTCATACAGTTTTTATTCTGTTATTATTTTTGTCTGTTATTTTGTCATACAGTTTTCATTCTATTATTATTTTTGTTTCTTTTCTGTCATACAATTTTCATTCTGTTGTACTATTTTTACTTTGCACTATTTTTACTTTGCACTATTTTTATTTTGTACTATTTTTATTTTGTTCTATTTTTACTTTGTTGTATGAGGTTTAAAAGATATATAAACCCTGCTTTTTCTCCTTAGACAAGATAGGTTTTTCTTGACTTCACTTTAATGTTCTAGAGATATAAAAATATTTCTTCTTGAATTCTTCTATATTGAATAAAAATATTGTACTCTTGGCTCTAAAAGTTTCTTTGGAATATACTCACTATATTAAGTGTTTTTATTATTTTTCTTTATTTTTGTTTCTATTTTGTTGTTGTTTTGTTTTTTTGTTTTTTTTCTCTGTTTATTCACATTTCTTACTCTTGGCACATTATCAAGTAGTATAGTTATTGCCACCAAAGTGACTTTACTACAGTATATATATACATATTTGTAAATTGCTAACTTGCGATTTTTTTTTTTTTTTGCATTTTTTATTAAATATTATTAAGCAACTCTGGGTTTGCTTAAAAAACCCAGGTCTGGCCTAGTAATTAGTGGGCCTAAATCAAGCCTGGCCTATAAAAATATTAGATCTAAAAATATGGACCCAAACTAGGCCCAAACCTGGCCCAGCTTATAAATTTTCAGGTTTGGTCTAGCCTATTCCAGACCATAGTACAAATAGATAGATTGGTGAGTTTATTGGTTAACAGGTCAAAGATCTAATAAAAATCTATACAGATTTATATATTTCTAAATATCTATGCAGAATTTATAAAAAAATTTTTTTCAAAAATAGTTGTGAATCATAGATCTTTGCAGATTTTTGATTATTATCAGGTTATAAAAATCTATACAGATCTACACCTAAAAAATTTTTTTAATGTACGTAAAAACTCAAGTACAAGCAAAATAAGAATATGATTGATATTACAGCTTTTGACAGAAAATAGTGATATAATTTTTTTTTTTTTTTTCTTTAATAACCTCACACTAATTTATTAGAATTTTTGTAATTTACAAAATTAACTATCTAATTTACGTATTAAGCAAATATCTGGCTACTATAAAGTGCCCAAGTATAGTTACCGCACTGATATTTGTCAACAAGCTCCATATACAGTGCTACCCATATTCAAAAACCTGCTATAGCTTGGTACTCAGCTATCTAAGTTCGAACCAATTATATTTTACCTTTCTTCTAAACTTCTTCCACCACTATTTGGGCAGAATATATTTTCTTCTACTTCTATATAGCACAAACATATATACCAAATTACAAAAGAAAGACTTCTTTTAAGAGCCAATCCCTTCTTTCAAGTTATCCCACCTTAAATTTTGGTAATATCTTCCTGAACTCAATCCACTTAAATTCCAGCAGATTATATATATTACCTTCTACTTCTATATAAAACTAACATATATACCAACATTATAAAGGAAGGTACATTTAAAGAAACTCTTTAAAAGCTCTCTTATAACTGAAAAAAAATAGAAATTGTTCTAAAAAAGAAAACAAAAACAAAAAAGAAAATAAAACAAATAGAAAAAAAGAAAAGGAGAATCTAAACTGATTCTAATATAAATGAAAATAGATGAAACAAGCAGAAAAAAAAAAAATTAAGCAATCCGAATACACTATTATAACCTGTGCCAGGTGAGAAGATAGTAATATAATATATACTTAGAAAAAAACAAAATAGTTTGACAAATTGAAAAAAGAAATAATCAAAGACCCAATAACAAACGAAATCAAATCAAAATATAAACTTAAGACAAACAATTCAAATACACCCAAAATAGTTTTAGAGAAAATAAAAGAAGATAGAAAAATAAAAGAATAGGTTTTGTGAGAAGACAAAGATTATATGCATATTAAAGTTAAAAGAATCAAAAAAAAAAAAAAAGAATATATATTAATAAAAAATTTCATAAAGACAAAAAATCTACAACAAGAGATTAGGCTAAAAGTATTGGAGTGTATTGAAAGCCAGATACCTATTGTAGTAAAATATAGAAAACTAAGCAATATATTAAACTTAGTACAAAAAATGGAAAGTGGCTCACAAATAATCTTTAATACTCATTTTTTAGAAAAAGCAGTTAAAAAAAGTACAGAGAAAATAAGAGTAACTATACATGAGATACAAGAAGCCAAAAAAAGAGAATCATTAGTTGTAGATTGTATAAAATAGAAAATATGTTTGATAAATGAATAGTTAAAGATAAATTACTTAGATTTAGTTTAATAGAGATTTCAAATCAATACAAAATCTTATATAGTTTAGTTTTTTATACAAATGGCTTATTGGTTAGGAAGAAGTTATAGGAACAAGCACGTGAATACATGTGTAGGACATGTACCGCTGTGTTAGGTTTACCTCGAGGATAGTTAAGTGTCCTAAGGTAGGGTGCGAAATCCACATTGGGT